TTATTTATCAGGGGTCTACATTAACTAAGCCCTGACCCATGCCTTAGGACTACTTGGTGAGGCACACATGTAAGCCTCAGGTTGTAGAGATTACGGATCTATGCCGTAGGTGGGGCTACCGCGGCTCATGGACCCTGGGTTCATATGTTGAAGCAGAGACTACCCTAAACATGAACGTTCCAAGTCACTTCAGGGTTATCTCTAAAACGTTCGTTGCCTGTAGCTGATTCCAGTGTCTATGTTCGCCAGGCCGCATTTTGAGTTTTGAAGAATGTACAAGGTCAGTCCCCTGTGCCAAGTAATTAGCTGGTATCATAAGCAGGCGAGATAAATGTTTAAACACATGCAAGTATGGCAGTCAAAGAAATCCATGGCACCAGGTGCAATGAACATCATTTTCTTGGCGCACAAAGACCCATAGCATCCTATAAGCATTCCGCAATCAGGCCACTACATCAAGCTCGACATGATCTGTCATGCACCAGCTGGAGCAAACGAAGGACTCTACCTTCATGCTTGCATCCGGCAAGGGTGAGTACCTAAGAACTGGGTGCAGGGGAGCTTCGCGATCGCAACTGCAGTCTTGAAAAGTACATACATGTTTGACACTTGGACCCTTAGGACAGGTACCCCCTTGCTACCCGACTGTAACTGCATGGCACAGATGCTGTTGCAAGCAGGCTTCCTGGGATGTTCTGCTTGCCTCTAGCTCCACACGCATGCAAGATGACTCGCTCCTCTGTGACGGATACTGTCCCCACGTCTGCTAGACATTCGGGTATTATAAGGCCCGCGGAACACCTGGCAATCTTGAGACATACTAAGTTTTCTCAAGCGATATGGCGTAAGCCTATGTGTATTCGAAGCTTCATCGGGACTCTCGGGAATTGCCGAGAAGTTCATCAAGGTCCAGGCTCTGCGCATCGGAAGCCTCATCGGAACTCTCAGCTGAGAAGTTCATCAAGGGCCACACCACACCAACATGTGCCCGGTGCAGGTAGTTCATCATCCATAGAGGAAGGAGCGACAGAGCACAGCAGACAGCCAGGCAGAGGCCATCGTAGAGCAGGTATACGGACAGAAGCACCGCAAAGAGGAGGAACTCCAGGCTCCTGGCAAACCACCAGAAAGCGTGCGAGGCGCCCCAACTGTCCAGTGCCTCAACTTCTCAGGGCTCAAAGAGGAGTCGGATATAGAAATATACGTACACTGCGGGGGTTTATGTGAGGAAACTGCCAGCCCTCAGGCAGCAATTCCATGCGTGCCTCCATGCACATGAGGACATCCTTGGAGTGCAGCCGATTTATCGAGAGCAGCAAGCGCGAGGATATCATCAGAGAGATCAGGGAGAACACGAAGCTGCAGAAGGCCAAGGCTACGTAGGCCGTCCTTGCCCAAGAGGATTCCTCAGGTCAAAATGAAGAGTTTCAGGGTTGCACGCCAAAGGCTGCAGGTCCCTCTCCCCTATTGGCAACCACGGGTTGCTTTTGAAAAATGATATTATGGAGACATTATCTGCTCGAACAGTCTGTGATATGATAAAACAGGGAGGTAACATGGGGTTTAGGGGTTAGGGGTGGTATCCCCCACCCTGGATTCCCCGTCGACCAGGCAAAATGAAGGATACTTGAGGCTAATCAAACCTGATTAGGTGTATATAGAGGGGCTTGGTCAAGGAACCCATGAATTCTAGATATTTGTCTGGTTCCCATCTGCTCGGTCCAAGGTTCTGAAAGCTTTGCATCTACAATCGCCAAGCCAGCCACCGTAATCGTCAACACCAGGGCCGCCAATATCCCCACAACTTCTGCATCTTTGACAATGATCTCCTGGCGTTTCGGGCTTTCGATGACCAGAACTGCAGTATATACTCGCAACAGCCTCTGATTGATAGATTCCGACTGTTGAACAAGAAAATGTGGCACCACCCTACATAGCGTGGATCCTTTAGGCTAGAGATAACTCTAAGTTCTGCGGAACACTCGTAATGAGAGTAACGAGAAACAATCATTTCAGCTGGTTTTTAGCATCATAGATTACAAGCATGCCACCTTGTTACCCCCCAAAAGGATGCATCCCACGAGCTGCCTCAACACCCGTCAAAACCTGTAACCCAAAGCCGCGGGATTGAAGATGGTGGTGCAGGATGTCTTGGCATCACAAGGGGAGGACATGTGCTTGGGGTACCTTGCTTCCAACCTTGCAGTTGTTGCATCTGAGGCGTACTGCTATATAGGGACATACGTACACACACACACA